TCATAAAAGCGTTCAATTAACTGTACTGTTGTCGACTTTCCACATCCACTACCGCCTAAAGAATGCCATATTTAAGCTCAAACAAACTCGTGGATAAATTTCTTTCTTACCTACTAATGCAACTTGTTGACCTGCGCCAAAGAGAAAAAGATTCAAAAACGGAAACACTCGAGAAAGAATATTTGAACTAACCAGCTTTAACTTTCAATTTGAAATTTCGTAAAACGATTGCATCGGGCCTGGTCGGATACACAAAATACATCCCCTCGAATTCAAGTTCTCCACTAAAGTTTGCCTGTTAAACAAAAAAAGAAACACTTGAAAATGAGTAAGAGAGAGATTGACTTTTTATACTATTTGTTCGCCATCACTTGAGCTATTATCAATAGCTGGTTTTCTTGCAAATAAGTCCAAAATATTCTTAGCTGCTTCAACGGCTTTATTGTAATCTGGTGATCTATGGAAAAAAATACAACGAGCAGAAAATATATTTGAGCTATCATCTAATTCATGATGTGACATACTTACAATGAGGCTGTTTGGCCAACAGATTGAGCTCCAAAGATGATACAATTGAAAACACTGAAAAAAGTACTTGTGTTAGCGTCCCATCAGATGAGAGGAGCGCAAGGAAACTTTGATACACTTACAGTAACACATCCTGAAAAGTCATTCTATTTTGGTTAACCAAATAACCTCCAAGTGAGAACAATGCTGCTAATGAAAAAAACATGACGGAATTCGTGAGACTGAAAAAAAGCGCAAATATATGTGCTCGTTTCAATGATGATCTGGAAAATAAAGCCATTGTATTTGTAATGGAATCAGAATGATATTACAAAAGAATAGTATTACTTGTATGGGATGTCTAATAAACGAGTATATTCGTCACCAAAATGTTTTTCTTTTGTTAGCTGAGCTACTGTACGAATATTCTGTATGGCTTCAACAGTGATCTGATGGAATAACAAGTTGCATTAGAAAGCTGTTGGAGATTTTTCTAAAATACTACCTTTCCAGCTTTTTCAAGTGTTCTTTTGTCATTGGTGGCAAATCCACTCATTAGTTTTGTTTGTAAAAAGCCACTAATTACTAATAGTGGAGTAAATCCCAACAACATCAGAGTTAATGCCCATCCAAATATAAATGCGAGAATAATGCCGACACCGAGACTAGCTAAATTTTGAAGCATCAAACCAAGTCGAATGCCTGTCGCTCCTTTGACAGCTGAGGTCTCAACTGCCAAACGAGTACACAAAGCTCCCGTACTATTTGTCGGATCATCGTAAAAAGTTACATCTTGTTTTAACATTGTTTGGAATACTTTTGCTCTTAATCGTTTTGTTAATATTTCTCCACTGCATGCAAATAAATAACCTTGTAAAAACATTGAAATTAACATAAGAATACCAAGTCCAATAAAGACTAAGACATAGACCAAAACTTGATGAGCTTGTTGGTGAAGATCACATATTTGAAACACCTTTCATAAAATTAAACGCATAAACAAAACAAGACAATATTCAATCTGACAAAGACATACCGCAACGAATTTACTTAGAATAATACCTAAACAAAATCACACAAAATTTAAGTTTATGTTTTTCTGTTTCAGTTCATACGCATACCATAAACCGGTTGAATACCACCATTACAAAGACTTGCTAAGCATCCAAATACGATATATAACCATTCCGGACTGTTCATTTTAAGCATAGTCCATACCGGTGACGGTTTTTTTTCTGAAGAATCTTTCTGTCAAGAAAATATATAATTTTGATTAGAGAAACAGTTTTGTAATCAATAAGCTCTTTTGTACCCTTTTATCGTTATTGTCATTCTCTTGTGTCCCACGGATAGCAGTAAAAACAGATGGTGTTAAACTTATCACAGTTGAAGTCCTCTCCCGACGAACATGTACTATAAAAAATTGTTTAATTCAAATTGCATTTTCTCAAAACTGATTTTATTTACAATTATCTTCGTCTTCTTCTTCATCATATTCCGATTCATTTTCCTCTTCAGCTCTTCTCAAATTTTGTGCTTCAATAAGTGCATAATAATTTCCACGTTTATTCATTAATGTTTCATGATCGCCTTCTTCAACAACTACACCTTTTTGAATAACAACTATTTTATCAGCATTACGTATTGTCGA